AACAAACCCTCAAAGTTCTGCCATAACGATCAAAATCTCAAAATATTAAATGAAAAACATTAGACGTGATATTATTATCGACTATTAAAACTCCTAGTACAAATTCTTCCGTATAAATGGTCATGGTACTTAGCATCCTTGCATGGGGTAGAGTGTGACAGGTAAGGGATGCAAACCAGTGTTCTTTAATTTTGATTTTTTTTTTTGCTTCAGCGGCGGGTCTATTAATTTCAAAAAGGAGGCAGAGGGGTCGATCGAGAAATTTTGCATAAAAGGGTCCAAGTAGCATAAGTGAAAGATATGACCTAAAACTGATTTTTGGTTACAAAACCGGCGGACCACTGGCCGATGTCTCGGAACCCAATTTTGCCATTTCTCCACCATATGCTTGAGACAATTAAGAGTAGGCGTTATGACAGTTTGCAGTATCTGGTTAGGTTGATATGTCCGTTGCGGACTTTTTCCTTGTTAACTATGAAATTAAGAAGATGTGGTATAATTGCCAATGAGACAATTTACTCTCCACCAGAGACTAAATGACCCAGATGTTAACATCTATAGGTCAACGTACGGCCTTCAACAATGAGCAAAACCCATACCGCATAGTAAGCTATAAAAAGCCCCGAAATGACGAATGTAAAACAATTCACACGAGAAAACCAACGGCACGTTTCAAATCAAGTGCAACGAATCATTTTAGTACAGAGCAGTGTTCATGAAAAAGTTATGTTTATCTGTAGAATTGTATGACATATTTGCCACTGGACCTCTATCGTCAATCAAATAATTTTGTCTCATGTTTAGACATTTTCTTTAATAAACACATTCGGACAGTAAATTTGGTAAAAAAAAACGATTCTAAAAATCATAAACCTTCAAAAATTCTCATTATGATACAAAATGAACGAAAAGCAACTCAGTTTGACGAGACGCCTTGTCACGATTGATCAATAATGTTTTGTCTTCATTCGAAGATAATTCCTATCAAGGACTTTAAATTTGTCGTAGATGCTTTGGTCAGCTTTATGACCAATAATTTGATGGCCCAGCTTTGAAGCATCTCTTGACCTTGTTAGTGTTTGTCTGTTCAAAAATCTACATTGTCAATGTTTTGTCAAAATGTACACATACATCCCGTAAAATCATTACTACAAAACTCCTTTTTCTGTGATGAAACCCCATAAAAAAAACCTTAATAATTTCTGATTCCGAGACTGTGTGCAATCTTTGCTATGTTACATTTTGCATTGGAAATCGCCTTTTATTGAATAATGTTACGTATATGATTGTATATACTTCTATAAGATTGGTAAATGCACCTATATCCGATGGTCTGGATGGAAGGTCCTTCAGATTTGTATTCTTTGAGTTTTTTGCAATTAACTTCATTTTTATTAATGATTGATTGATTGAATTTTTCTTAACGTCTCGTGTCAAATATTTCCTGCATGTTCAGGACGAGAACATATTAACAATAAATATAATAGTAGATACGCACAAAAATGTCAATATTCACCTCTGAAGCTAACAAAACCTTTAAATAGACTTATTAAGAAGGGATATAGTTACGATACTGTTGTCAGGTCATTAAAGATTGCATATTTTGGCGTTAATATTGATTCACTTATAGGGTCTTTGCATTGGCACTAAACACATTTATTTAAAAACCAGTTGTTGGCATGACACGGGTTATGTTCTTCTCATATATGTTATGATGGTATGATACTAAACCCCTAACGGGAAGGATTGTGCCTGATATTCATATGATGAAGACATAATCTTTCAATCAGTTTAATTGAAGTCTGGAGCTGGCATGTCAGTTAACTGCTAGTAGTCTGTTGTTATTTATGTATTATTGTCATTTTGTTTATTTTCTTTGGTTACATCTTCTGACATCGGACTCGGACTTCTCTTGAACTGAATTTTAATGTGCGTATTACATTGGCTAGAGGTATAGGAGGAGGGTTGAGATCTCATAAACATGTTTAACCCCGCCGCATTTTGCGCCTGTCCCAAGTCAGGAGCCTCTAGCCTTTGTTAGTCTTGTATTATTTTTAATTTTAGTTTCTTGTGTACAATTTGGAGTTTAGTATGGCGTTCATTATCACCGAACTAGTATATATATTTGTTTAGGGGCCAGCTGAAGGACGCCTCCGGGTGCGGGAATTTCTCGCTGCATTGAAGACCTGTTGGTGACCTTCTGCTGTTGTCTGTTCTATTGTCGGGTTGTTGTCTCTTTGACACATTCCCCATTTCCATTCTCAATTTTACCTTCATGGATGAACAACAATGAAGGGCGGGGAAATTTGAACTATCACTGGAAAATAAGGGTATATTGAAAGGGATAGACATTTTTTCTTACAACAAAGAATCATTGCAAGGGTTCTACCTTGCAGAGAGCGTGTCACTATCTAACACGATCCGTCAGATTTAACGTCCCCATTCTTACCGAACGTGACTGCGTACTTATACCAACCCGCACAGCCAAATGGACGCACCACTTTGTCAAGAGTTTAACTGCCGGTTGGGAAAGGAACCAATGTGACCGTATTTCTATTCCCCACTCACCCTTGGGGAAATGTGTATGCTTATATCCTTTCTTTGAAGGACAAAACCTTACATAAACAATGATATATAGTGGTAAATATTAATTACAATTATTCCTTTTCTTTTTTCTTTTTACGTTGGAAATGTTTTCATTCAGCATTCAGAATTCGTTCAGTTATAAGGTTATTCAAAAATAATTGAAAGAGCTATCAAATCATTTCACAGATACAGATTTTTTACAGTTTACAAAACTTATTCTTAATGTCGTTTGCTTTATACCTCAAAGTTAAATGTGTGGGTTTTGTTTTTTTGGTTTCCTCATATAGAGATTTCTCCGCACACACTACTTAATTAAGACTCCTGTTTATTTTATAGTCAAAATGCACTTACCTGATGCACTTGAGTCAATGTCAACATGGTCAACATAATATTAATTGAATTATAATATTTTGCTATAATCTTATTTAAATTTGTTGTGTGTGTAACTTAAACTTGGTGTTTTGTCTTTTATCAATCTAATTAAAATATAAAACTCTGATTTCGTTATACTCCATATGAGCAATCTAATAAAAATATAGAACTCTTATTTCGCTATGCTTCATACGGAGTATAACGAAATCAGAGTTCAATATGTTAATTAGATTGGTTTTGTATTACACATGTTGCATATCTGTTGTATAGATTGCATTGCATATGTTATTGTTTATATGCTATATGCCCTCCTGGGGCCCTTTGATGAAAAAAATAGTCTATTCTATTCATGGAATTGCAGGGAGGTAATACGATAACCAATGATACTAACTATACTAATTTTTGATACAATTCGCAATGTCCAATCTGATTAAAATTCAGACCTATATTAACTCGCGTGCTCTTACACAAGTATAGGTATAACGTACGAAATCAAAGAACTATAAAATTAGATTGCGTAATATCAGATGTTATTTTTTTTTTTTTTTGCAGTGGCTATTTTGGCGGCACTGGCAAAATAGAAAATATGCCATTTTGCTGGCTCTGATTTAAATATCTTAATTTAAGCCGGCAAAATAGCATAGTTGTATAACGATGGTTTTTTTGCTGTTGTCGGTCATACAGTGAATTTGTTATTTTAACGGCTCTTTGTAAAAAGAGAATTTTAATATTTACTTTTGAAAAGTACTACGAAAATGTTCATTACCAACTTCAAAGAACCAAATTATTACTCATATAGTAAAATAAAATAACATTAACAATATTTGAGATATGCATTATCGTTTATATATATGTTGTGTACAAGTTGTAATGTTGTACAAATTATAATTTGTACAGATTTTTTGTACAAGTTATCAGTGTTTTATGAACTGCTTAACACAAATGGATGATGCAAGCACACCGTCTTTTGCTTCGCATATTTCTGTCATATTTTCACAACTACATGATACAGTCTAATATTGAGCATTGATACTAAAAACATTATAAGACCACAAAAAGTGAGGACAAGGGGAATAGCACTAAATGTTAGGTTGAAGTTATATAAATTTGAATTTAAAACACTTAACTAGCAGATTTTAGAAGATACACCTGTATCACCTGGTGCAAGAAGGTATGTGTCAAAAAACTTATAACTTGTACAATACCCTGTACAAATTATAATTTGTACAAACTTACATCTTGTACACAACATATATATATAATCATTTATGAGTGCAAGAGAAAACAGGAATTTGTAAAGATAATGAAAATAAAAATATTGAGCATCCATTTACAGGTGCGGATCCAGGATTTTGAAAATGAGGGCCCCTAGTTAGCCAATGTTTGTGGACTGATGCTTGTAAAAAGTATATCATATATGGATCTCCATAAGGGGGCAGAGTCCCCTTTGCCCCCTAATTCCGCCCCTGATTTGTAGGAATAAAATTATATCAAAACATCTGGTTGAAATTTTTTTTTAATCTCTCACAGTCTATAATATTGCATTTGAATAAAATCTCAGATTTTTAACTATACACATGATGGTGTAAAAAAGAAAATTGTATATAAATTTGATAAAACATTACACAATCTTACAAAACCTAGCACATAGCTTCAACACCAAAAATGCATTTGCTTTTGAAATAGTCAGTCCTTTGAATTGCGTATCTGTTAATACAATATTCTTTAATTGGCTTGAGCTTACCTGGAGCAGGCAAAATAGACATTGCTATAGAAATATGCCATTTGCCGGCTATTCAATCAGAGCCTATCATATTTTTTATTTTGCTTGTGCCAGCAAAATAGACACTGCCTATTTTATTTTTTCTTTTGGAATTTAATAAAATGAATTTGAGTTATTCCTTATTTCCAGTGATTGCAAAGAACATACAAGCTCATCATTATGGGGCTCAGCTGACATGCATTCCAGACCTGTTTATATTTATAAGTAACAGTGGCGAAACTATTATGGTGGCGAACGAATATCAGGCCGAAATCACATCTATTTCCAAGATGGCTGCGCCCATGTGGAGACGATTTGGCGTCCAGTTGTCATATAAAAGTTCAAATTATTCATTGGGTAAAACTGTATTTTATCATCAATTGTGTAATCTATATTTGATAGCTACACAGAAGGTTGGTTTTGAATCACAGACCCAGTTTTCTACACTTATTTCAATATATGAGGTCACTTAATGACTTACTCAAAAGAAACTTTTATAAAGATTAAAGTTGTACGGTGCAGTCCGGTGTATCCGCGCACCTAAGAATTATGATTACACTTTATTAAACTGATAAAACCAATAATCAGATTATATTGTGTGAACAAATTCATAACATTCTTTTATTTCTTAAAATCTTCTGTATGTATCCTTAAGATTTTGTGTAATGACTAATGTGTGTCAAAAATTAGGGAAACCCCTGTTATGAGAGTTCTTGAAATGTCCTGTGATTTCGTGCATGCCTTCTAAAAATGGCTTATTTTGAGTAAGGGAAAGATTTTATAGTACGAAATATAGTTGAATTTGAACCAAACAGACTGCCAATGATGCAGAGCAAAATTTGATTTCAATGAAACAAATTTTATCTGATGATGTAATTTTTTTATGGGAAATTGGACATACCTGCCAACTTTTAAAAATCTCCATGGGGGTTTTAGTGCGCGGCATCAATTTCAAATGTTTAATACAGATGCTGTGTTTTTTTAGAGCGCTGTTTTGTGCTCTACAAAAAGTATCATATCTGTTTTTATATGGTATATGATGATGAGTTATAAGCTTTTCTTCTTCTTTTTTTTGCATGATTCTAGTACTAATATATTATCATGATTATTGTGAAGAAAAAAATAACATGTACAGTACGTAGTCCGACTTATGACTAGATATGTCGGATTCCGGCAAGATGACGGACTGTCGGGCAGTTACCTGAACGTAATTAACACCTGGTTTGATATCACCTGTGTAATACCCGATGGAAAGTCGTAAATCAATGTGTAGCTGATTGAAATTTCACCTGTATGCAGATTTAGTTAAAAGTGATGATACATGTAAAAATGAATTGTTGTCATACATGTCATAATAAGTTAAAAAAAATATTTACTTGAAGACGTTTTTTTTTATAAATCGTAATTGGTCCACCTGATCGTAAAATTACATTTTAAAGCAATGTAGTTTTTTCTTTATATAAAATAATTGATAAATTTGAAATGAAATCATTTGAAGTAGTTTATTTCAGTTTTTTTACTTTATTAATCATTTTCCCGTAGTTCATTCATTTATTCAACAATACCACGCTCCCCTAGGCCTCTAGTGCCTCGACTGTTATTACCTGTCAGTCAATATCCGCAAATCAAACAATTGACCCCGTATGAACAGTTCATTTCTGTTTACAGTTATTTATACATTTTCGCGCCTCTTAAACAGTCAGGGGTGCTACTTAAACAAGTGATTTCATCATCACTTATTTCAGTGATTTGATAAATTCAGTTATCACCTATTTGAGTGATTTTAGTCTTTTCTTTGATCTTCAAATGCTAATTTCTTTCATTTTCCATATTTTCACAATCTTTTCTATAATTTTCCTACATAAATCAATTATCCCTTTTTCTTTGTATATTAATTTCACCAGTGCGCTTGGGCAGTAAGTTAGTGCGCTAAAGCTTTTAAAAGTACCCTTGGGAATTTTGCTGTAATCAAAAATTCATTATCTACTCTTACTATCAGACAAAGATCAACAATATTAGGTAACCTGATTGGTTTTCTTTAGAGTTAAAATGATCTACTTCAAGGTTATGACCTGATCTAAAAACTATTCCTGTTTTTGCCTATTTTAAAAAAACTGTTAAAGTGTCAGGCTTATCAAGCAAAAGACAATTTCTGCATATACATAGTTGTTTTTTCAATGGAATTGTTGTCTTTTTACCAATAAAAAAATCAAGCTTGTGGGAAAAATATCAAGAAAATGTTATAAACACTTATTAAAGTGATTACATTTTAACTTCTAAAATTACTTGTTTCAGTGATTTTAAAAAGTCTGTGTGAAAATTTTTAATATTTCACAGCCAAAATCACTCGAGGGAGTGATTCTGAAATCACTTGTTTAAGTAGTACCCCTGACTGTTAAAGCTTGTGCTACCGTGATGTTTTCTTAAAATCGAAGTCGGAAAGTTTTATTTTTTTTCATTTTGGTGACATGATGTTATCTCACTCATGTTCAATACCAATTATAAATATAACTTATATTTAGTTTTCGGACGCAGCTTTAAAGAAATATTTAACCTCGAGATATGATTTTTTCTAATAAAAATGTCAGTTGTTAGTATTAATTGAAAATATTTTATCTCGACGAGACCTTTTAAAAAGCGTACAAGTAAAACGAATCACGGATGGTTATACACGTAGTATAAAATCCATGAACAGATCAACTTAACTTTTATATGATCAAAAGTTTTTGATGCAAATAATTCAAACTGGTTTTAATTTAGATAATTACGACTGATTACCGACTTTATTACGTAATGATCACCTCATTTTTATACGACCGCAAAAAATTAAAAAATTTTTGGTCGTATATTGGTATGACGTTGGCGTCGTCGTTGTCGTCGTCGTCCGAAGACACATTGGTTTTCGCACTCTAACTTTAGTTTAAGTGAATGGATCTCCATGAAATTTTACCATAAGGTTCAATACCACAAAAGGAAGGTTGGGATTGATTTTGGGGGTTATGGTACCAACAGTTAAGGAATTAGGGGCCAAAAAGGGGCCAAAAATAAGCATTTTTGTAACTTCCAGACAATAACTTGTGTGTAAGTGTATGGATCTCTCTGACATTGTACCACAAGGTTCCATATCACAAAGGGAAGGCTGTAATTGATTTTGGGGGTAATTGCCTCAAAATTTTAGGAATTAGGGGCCAAAAAAGGGGCAAAAAACAAGCATTTTTCTAGTTTCATGACAATAACTTGTGTGTAAGTGTTTGGATATTTCTGAAATTGTACTACAAGGTTCCATATCACAAAGGGAAAGCTGGAATTGAGTTTGGGGGTAATTTCCCGAAACGTTTAGGAATTGGGGGCCAAAAAGGGGCCAAAAATAAGCATTTTTCTAGTTTCCAGACAATAACTTGTGTTCAAGTGTATGGATCTCTCTGAAATTGTACTGCAAGGTACCATACCACAAAGGGAAGGCTGGGATTGAGTTTGGGGGTGATGATTCATAAGGGGGTTCAAAAAATTTGGGGGGGGGATTTTTTTTTTTTTCTTTTTTTTTCTTTTTTTCCTTTTTTTTTCTTTTAAAATTTTCCATTTTAAGTTGGTTATTTCTGATTTATATTTAAAAGCAAATAATAATGATATGGTAGGAGATACACACCAAACAGGATGTGTAAATTATTATATAATAAGTATTGTGCAATAGCAAGAAATTTTCAATTGCACAGTATTGCACAATAGCAAGAAATCTTCAATTGCACAGTATTGCGCAATAGCAAGAAATCTTCAATTGCACAGTATTGCGCAATAGCAAGAAATATCCAATAGCACAATATTGCGCAATAGCAAGAAATTGTCAATTGTACAGTATTGCGCAATAGCAAGAAATATTCAATTGCACAGTATTGTGCAAAAGAAGATACATCGTATAAATTGCTTATTTCTTGATCAATTTCAATGGGGTTTTATTCTTGAATTCTTGGGGTTCTTTAATATGCTGAATCTAACCGTGTATTAAGTTTTTGGATTTTGGGCCCCGTTTTTAAATTGGTCCACATTGAGGTCCAAAGGGTCCAAAATTTAACTTTGTTTGATTTCATCAAAAATTGAATTATTGGGGTTCTTTGATATGCCGAATCTAACCGTGTATTTAGATTCTTAATTTTTGGTTCCATTTTCAAATTGGTCTACATTAAGGTCCAAAGGGTCCAAAATTAAACTTAGTTTGATTTTAACAAAAATTGAATTTTTAGGGTTCTTTGATATGATGAATCTAAACATGTATTTAGATTTTTGATTATGGGCCCAGTTTTCAAGTTGGTCCAAATCGGGGTCCAAAATGAAACTTTGTTTGATTTCAACAAAAATTGAATATATGGGTTTTTTTGATATGCTGAATCTAACCATGTATTTAGATTTTTGATTTCTGGGCCCCGTTATCAACTTTGTCCACATTGAGGTCAAAAGGGTCCAAAATTAATCTTTGTTTGATTTCATCAAAAATTGAATTCTTGGGGTTCTTTGATATGCTGAATCTAACCATGTATTTAGATTTTGGATATTGGACCATAATAGGTGAATGTCCAATTTAAAATTTTTAAGTTCTTAGACCACATTCATTCTGTGTCAGAAACCTATGCTGTGTCAAATATTTAATCACAATCCAAATTCAGAGCTGTATCAAGCTTGAATGTTGTGTCCATACTTGCCCCAACTGTTCAGGGTTCGACCTCTGCGGTCGTATCAAGCTGCGCCCTGCAGAGCATTTTATTAAACTTTTTTCTTATCAATTGATTCTTGAAATTACTACAAAGTAAATTGGTTTGTTTGAATTCCCATCATTATGTACAGTACAACCAACCTGTGTTTCATTAATTAATTTGTTTTATTGTTTGAGATTTATGACTTATGTGCTCGTTTTGTCTCCGGTAATGTGATCAATTTAATTTCATTTGACAACTGATAATAGATGTTTAATTTAATCGAATATTAGACAGAAATAAATTAGGCTAGAATTAAGAAAGGTGTTATAAAAAAGTTTTTTTTTTCCAAGTTAATATTCAGACAAGAAATTAACACGACAGTCATAAACATTTAAAAAAACAGTGTTTTGTTTTCTTTAAAAGATGAAAATTAAATGTTTGAAACAAATGAAGTGATGATTTTATTTTATTGAGAAAAAAAAATCATTTGTAAATACTACTAGGAAATTGTTTTAAATTAACAAAGTAAATTAGCGTGAGGATGTGAGAGAGAAAAGGGGCAAAGGTAATATGAAGTTGGAAGAAAGCTTAGTTTGATTTGTTAATGATGACAACAATTTTAAACTCTTTTCGTATAATATTTGTAGCCCTTAAAAGAGCTGTTTTAAATAGATGTTGACTATCAATCATCTTCATATCAGCTTCAAGCTGGCAACTTTTAGCTGGTACTCTGGCGTCTTCAATTTCAAATTTGGTATCAAAATAGTGGAGGGACTTTCCGCTTGATCTCTCTGGAAAAATCTTTTTGGGTAGATCTCCAGTAGCTCGTCCACCTATCACAACCGCTATTGGCATGACTTTGAAGATGTATTCGATGAAATTATTGCATATTGCAATTGTCATATCTTCTCTCCAAAACGACTTTATGCCATTGATTATTTCTTCTTTTGTCCTTGGCTCTTTTTTTAGACAATCTTGACTTCTTAGTTGCATTTTAAGTATGTTTAGGGTCGTTGTCTTGTTGAAAGCGATGAGTATCAGGGTACACCCGGTTAATGAATGGAATCAGGCCGGGCACCAAAATAGAGTTAATGTAAAATGCTGATGTCATAATATTCTCGAATACTAGGATACTCGTTGTTCCTCGACAACTTATTCCAGCCCAAACGTGTACCTTCAACGGATGCTTAGGTTTACGTAATACTGGTGCGACTGAATCTCTTTCGCGGTAGATGACGATCTTATTGTCATGAAGCTGAACGGAACATTCGTTGGTGAAGATGATATTGTCGAAGTTGTCATTGTTGGCAATGTTCTCTTTAGCGAACGCGACCCGTTTTACTTTTTTAGCATCACGTACCATCTGTCCATATCTCGGCGATGTTGCAAAATGAGAAAGGCAAAATAACACAAGTATATCAGTCAGGAAAATCTTGGTACATGAATATTTCGAATGTAACAAAAAAGTTGGAAATGATGGTTTGAATGTTATTTTATTATTTAGCAATTATTTTATCTTGTGTCATTTCGAAGGAGAACTTTAAAAAAAAAAAAACACACACACTTTGTTATACTAACGATCTATATTTATCTTTTACATGTTTTAACAAGAAAACATTGTTGACATCGACCGAATAAAGAAACGTAACTTTATTTAAATGGATTAATTTCAACTGTATCCTCCTTGGAGCCTCAGCATTCATTCATTCCTGTCAATCATCATGAGAAGTAGTTAATATCACAAGAACAATGAAGCTTTCTATTTGTAGTTACATTTAACCTCAAACTTCCAGACAAATACATTATTCGTCTTAACGGAGGAATTTACCAGTACATAGTTACACAGGCAGATGAAAAAGATAAGAAAATTCACAATTAAAGAATTTCAAACTAAACAATGCATAACTTATGTATTACGTTTTACTAGTATCACTATAAATATTAATTAATTTTAGAACTGACCCGAAACGACTGAATATTGTGTGGTTAAATATAAAAATAAATTGCATGTGACTGTCAAACTAAAAGTATTCACTTTGCACCGCTAATCAAATGGATGTATGTGAACAATAAATAAATAAAACAAAAAGAAACTTTCAGAAATAAAACGAAAATTTGTTTAAAACCATATGTCAACGAATACGATACAAAACGAAGAGAAAAAAAAGACAAGTAACAAATAAAGAACCATGATTATACTTAGAAATCGAAATATGATTTATAAGCCATTATTTTATTATAAAAGTTTTATCCACTAATTCATCTGCACAAATATTTTAAATCAAATACGATGTAGAGTTAATAAAGTGAGAGGTTTAAATCACAGGTAAACTGATTCTGAAATCAATGAAGCGTAATTGTCTAGTAGCATGGATTAAAATTAAAGGACAATTATATCACCGTTCACACCTGGATCTGTTGATTATTGACCATATACCTACCATAAAATTGTCGGATTATTCATTTCCGACATGTCCGAGTCCATCATTTATAGTCATAAGTCGGACTATGTGCTGTACATGATGTAGCCACAGGAATATTAAAGTTATTGTTGACTTTTCAAATTTAAAAATATGCACAAAGAAGGAAATATATCTGATTCTTTGTGAAAATGTACTTTGGTTTAATAATTTAATTACAAGAATGACAACATCATGAACATGTATGTATGATCTGTTACCATAAGTGTAGTGTCCATTAGCTACTGTTAATTATGTTTATGGTAGAATTATATCTTTGAATTTTGTCAATCAGTCATGATTTACATGATTTACTTCTTAAGCTGTGTAAGAACCTTCTTGCAGATGAAAATTGGTCTGCCATGATCACGATTTTTACGATTCTGAGTTACAAACAAGTTCAAAATTTAGCACATTTGTAGTTTACACAACGCCCAAAGATCAGGAGAAACAACAATTTTGATTGACTGATCATGGTTGTCTCCCTTAGGAAAAGTTTGGGAAAAGTTCAAAATTGGGAGCAATCATTTTTTTTGTGTAGAATTTAACAAAATCATGTTATAGAGCTCTTTACACGATCACAATCGTGCAATGTAGTTCACGTCTAAATCGTGAAAGTTGGATGTATGAAATTGGCTAAATATGGTTAAATGTTGGATTGCAGTAATACAACATGTAAATTTGCTCTTGAACATATCAATTTTAATCTTTTCCGACCCTTCGGAAGACTAAAATAATTACCAGAATGACTCTATTTGTGATACATTGCGAATATGACGAAATCAGGTATTGCGCGATATCACCGGCCGCGCGGACACAGGGGATTCCACTGTATTCCAAAAAACTGCTAATAATACAATATTTTTAGAAGGAGAAGATGCACCAGATATGGAAATATGTAAAGCTGTACAGCACTTTAAGGCTTAAAGGAACAGGAGAATATTCTCTTGAAATTACTAAATTTGGTCTAAAATTCTAAATTGATTATATTTTATTTAATGATATTTTATAAATAGTGTACACAATTAAACACCTAGACTGTCATGTAACATTTAAATTCATTTTATAGTTCTGAATGATTGTTTCGCACCACAATAGTTCAACATTATTGCACTTTAAACAATTTCTGGGTAGAACACAGCAGCTACATGTACAGTCAGGGACTTACTTAAATGAGTGATTTTCTAAATCACTGATTCAAGTAACATTATGTCCATAAAGGTTGGAAGTAAGGGTTGTCTTTCTTTAATAATCACCTATTTAAGTAGTACAAATTAATCACTAGACTAAGTGATTTAATTTTATTGTAGCTTTAAATATAGAATACTAATGATCCAGGGACTAATTATGTTGCTAAAATTATCAGAACCAACATCTGTGTTGATAGGATGACCGGGTCATGTCAGGTGATGACCTTGTACTAAATCTAGGATAATGACATAAAAATCACTTGTTTAAGTATCATACCTCAATTTCCTTCCAAAAAATCACTTCATTTAATTTAGTATCATTATTTTAATAACCCCCACTAATTTCAACACCCCCGAACAGTGAAATTTTGATCGTGAACAGTAGAATTTTATTACATAATCTATAAGATGAAACCTTGAATTTTACAGGAAAAATACTCCCACTGCTGGGAAAAATCTGTTAAGAAAGTATCAGTTCATTATGTAAAGCCATTTTTATAGCATTTTTTCAACTAAAATAGAATTGCAGCTAAATGATTGCATCAAAGGCATAACCTTGCTGCTTAAAAGAAGCAAAAAGTTCATTTTTTTCAATTTTACTAATGAAAAGATATCATCTAAACCTATGTGTTTAAAATTTTGGTAAAACTACAAAATCACAATTTGTGACAAAACTTTGAATTTGCTACTTAAATAAGTGATTTAAAAATCACTTATTTCAATAAGTCCCCTGACTGATGTATAAAACTAAAAAGGCATGTTATGACAAGTGTAAAAATACACTGTAGGCCATATTTATTTAAAAAAAAAAAAAAACTATATACATGATATACTTGTAACAAAAAACAAATATGATATATATATATATTTTGCAATAAACTAACAATGTATTAAAGGCTTCTGACTTGGGACAAACACAGAAAGAATATGGCAAATTAAGACAAGTTTGTGAAAGCTCAACATTAACTCTCCCCTGATCTGGGATAGTCGGGTAACAGCACAAGAATTGCATGGGAGGCACTTACATTGTACTACAGACCCAGATCACTGATAAAATTAGAATATTCATTTTACTGATAATTCTTACAAAATGCTATAAGCATGATAAGGAAAATACAACCACTTAAATAATTTGAGTGCCACCTAAGATACAACTAAAAAATGTCCTACTCAGTATTGGTCTCTGATATAATTTTTTTCACCATTACAGTCAAGGATGAATAATTTCTTAGACTTTGTCAAGGTAATAAAGCGTATTACAGTTGGATACAACAATGTTGACGTCAGAAGCAGAGGTATTTTTTTCACCTGACCACATGCACACTTAGAAGTTTTCATTACAAATCATACATGTAGTAAGTAGTTATGTGGGATAGACTCTTGTTTTTACATTTTTATTGAAATATTCCATCTGAAAATCAAAGTTTGAGAGAATATTTCCATGTGTGTATGTTTATCACCATTTTCATAGAATATTTTCTTTACATTCCATTGTAGCTCCAACTTGGTGTAGGATTTCCTACTTCATACAGAAATGTCAGATGTCATCAGCAGCACCGGACCAGTCAAACAGTATAGCTAACAGTGATGGAGATAGCTTTGATGAAATCATTGATGAAAAGACTATTGAAAAAACACCAAGTATGATTGATGTACATCACATGTACATTATACACAAAATATAGAAATAAAAACAAGTGGTACAGTGGTCTCCCCAGAATTTTCAAATAGCACCATGGAAATTAACATGACAATGGCTCCTATAATTTTATTATAAAATCATCCAAGATAGCACCATGGTAGAAAATATAGCACCAGGTAACCATGGTGATTTAAGGCTCTGGGGAGAACACTGTGGTATGATTGGCAATGATACAACTCTCCACAAGAGACCAAATGGTACAGAATTAACAGTTCTTTCTGAATGAATTTCTATGAAAAACAGTTGGTACCATAAATTTAGATTTGTATTTTTAATTGGTTAGATAAACAAAATGATAAATAAAGATTTTTGCTTGACATCTTAATTACTGAAACTTAATAAGCTTGATTGTGTTGATATTGAAATAAAAGGATGTGGTATGATTGCCATTGAGACAACTCTTCACCAGAGACCAAATGACATAGAAGGTAAGCAACTATAGGGCTCCATACAGCCTTCAACAATGAGCAAAACCCATACCGCATAGTCAGCTATAAACATGATAAAAGATCCCTAAAAACAAATGTAAAATAATTCAAACTTGAAAACTAACGACCTGATTTATGTACAGATCAATAAACAAAAAACAAATATGAATTACATCAAAAACGACACCCACTGAATTAAAGGCTCCTGACTTGAAATTGTTGACTTAGAAAATAACATATATTACATGACCATGATGACAGTGTATTATGTCTGTAAATCTGAATAAACATGCTAAAGCCAAACCCCTATGATCAGGACTATCTACTAATCTAAATATAAACCTATAATCATGATAATACTGATTTCAGCATCTGGCTTTACCTTCATCATGCAAGCTCCACACTAGAAAATTAACGAGCCAGGTGAACAAACAGTGAAAACACTGAAACAAATAGGTATCTGAGCAGAGTATAGAAAGTTTTGGATGAGGGAATTTCAACCTTTGTTTTCATAAATGTACTAAACACAACTTGGAAACTTATATTAATAATGTGATCATGTCATTTAATTGATTTGATGACAGAAGCACATGCTACTAGAATGTACTATATCATGTATATGTGTCTGTAAGCTTTGACACTGACAGTCCACCAACAGTGGCACTAAGGTTAATATTATGTATACAAATCTTAAGAAAGGGATGGCATCGATATAGCGTGTCTATTTACCATCATGTGGTTACATATTGAAGTTGTATGTATTTAGCTGGAATTATGTAAATTATAAACATTGAAAAAATATATATACAAAAACAAACATATGTACTATTTCATATGTTTTAAACAAGCTAATTTTTGTGATTTTTTTCCCATGACTTTCGCAAAAGTGAATAGAAATCATTACAAATATATCTTACAAGGATCTCTTACAAAAACATCATTGAAGTAAGTGAATCATGAAAATTAAATTTCTTTGAGGTCTACTTGAAAGGTTATTACACATAAACATGATAAAAGTATTATCAGAAGAAGTGGCTATCAGTTTGCTGAAAAAGCAGTGTTGACAATTTGAATTTTATATTTTTTTACAGAGGCACATTATGAAAACTTGAGGAGAATTCCTGATCAGCCTTTAGATGCAAGAGTTCTGAAACTTGCCGTTATTGGTATACCTAATGCAGGAAAATCTACCCTTGTCAACAGGCTTATGGGATGGAAAGTAAGAGTACAGAATATTCATACTTATAGGGCCAATTTCTGTCAAATCCATAATCGCTGATTTGATTTGAATTTTCATATTTGAATTCATGGTTTTTTCTAGCATTCCACAGGGTCTGTTATTTGGATCCATTCCCAATAGCAAAAACACTACATTTTTCCCAATTTTTGAAGCAAAATTCCCAAACATTCTCAAAATTCATTTTGATCTTTATTTTTCATAACAGCAATGATTATTTTGTTAAACCGCTAGCTTTATGCCGAAAATCGCCAACAAATAATGTATAAATTCTAGTAAAAACAAGTCTGACTGACAAAAACAACAAATAATGCATGTGTAATGGTTACAATAAACCGGAAATCTAGACAATTACAACACTGTATCAGATTCCGAGAGTGATTAAGGCTAATTTCGGGTTATCGATCAAATACAATAAATAAATAAAAAAATTCCAGGCAGGTGACAGAATACAGCTAATTATATATAAGTAATAATAACGAAATATAAAAAAAAGAATTGAAAACCGAAAGATACATGTATATGAAAAAGAAAGAGGAAATATTTTATACAGAAACTCAAAATTATTTTTAGTTCACAAATTTTTCATGTCAAAATCCAATAAAATGTTACATTACTTTTCTTTATCACTAAAAAATGTTGATATTAGAAGTTTTTATAATGTAAACATATAACTACAGATCCTAGAAGTTATTTGTTCTCAATGTTGAAGGGCCAGTACAAATCTGGAAGAGCAATTGAATTTAAAAAAGTGTTGGCCTGCTTGACCAGTTAAAATACATCTTATTTCTATCCCTGAATTATTTATTACATTAACCTCATTAACTGGTACTGTCTTTGAAGATAAATAATTTTTAAAGGGGCACTAGCTGTCAAATTCATGTTCAATGATTTGTCTCAAATTCTCATATTTGATTTATAACAATTTAAAACATTTATCCAAACTATTAAAAGTCTACAATAAACAGTTAACAGGACATGGGCATGATAACTTGTAGCTTCGTTTCGTGTGTATTTTAGTCTAGACGCCATCTAATTAACTATCGAGTTGACCTCCAAAGTCAACCGATGACCATATAAGGGATGTAAACATTAATAAAGATATAAAGAGATTAAGCAAACTCGTGCTATTGGATTTTTCTAGGTCTGTTTAATTTCATATTATAGATTAAAAATATATGTTTATCATCGTTTTTACCTGTATAAGAATGATTTTTTGTGGATCGGATCAGACGATCAAATGATTTACCTTTGTTTCACTTTCAATGTTGACATTCTTTTCCTTTAAATAACTTTACACATACAATTCACGTGTTATCCATCTCTAGCTAAGGGGTTAAATTGAAGTTCACATGAATACAGATTCAATGAGGTTGAATTATTCACTTGCAAGTGAATAATTCATCATCAATGTTTCTTAGCTTATTTTGACAAAATTGAACCATACTAGCGGCTAAAAGCGAATAATCATTTCATTTTTTCACTTTCATTAATGATTGAACAAAAAAAAATCATATATTAGATTTTTTATATATCTCGTAGCTAGTGCCCCTTTAATGTACCGAACACACTAAAACTCACATCTGGTATAAATGTTGTTTTCCCAATTTCATTGAAAATTGTGTAAAAAAATTCCAAAAACTGGCCAGGGTCCTTTTTACCCAAAATACCCAAAAGATCTAGTTTTTATCTCTATATCTATTTTAGCTGATATGGTTTCTGAATTTTATGCCGATAGGCGAGACATATCTCTGTGTCAACAGTTTATCTATATATATATATATTTTAGCTAATATGATGTTTGAATTTTATGCTGACAGGTTAGACATATCTCTGTGTCAACAGTTTATCTTTTTATTTATATTTCAGCTGATATGGTTTCTGTATATTTTTCAGGTATCACCTGTGTCCAGTAAAGTTCACACCACAAGGAAAAACACTAATGCAGTTTTAACAGAAAACAATACACAGATAGTATGTTGCACATTTAGTTAAGTCTAGAGGGGGGGGGTAGGACCTTTATCGGGACTCCGGGATCTGGTGTTTTTAAGCTCGGGATTTCGAGATTGATCCTTTCAGGATCCGGGAATTCTTTTTTCGAATTTCGGGATGTCGGGAATTAAATTTCTTTAAATTCGGGACCTCGGGATTCCATGTTTTTAAGCCCGGGATTTCAGGATCTGGACCCCTCCTACCCCACCCCCATTCTAGCAGATGATTTCATACTGCATTTAAGATTACTTTTGAAAGTTTATTAAATATTTGATGTTTTACATAACAACACCTTCTACTCATTATCATGCAAAAAGTGCAGGTTAAATTTATAATTCTATAATTGCATAGATTTAACCAGCAATTTAAAAAGACACAGGTAATTCCTTACTTTACAAAAAAATCATACATTTGTATGTAAATATATACAAATAAGAAGATGTGTTATGATTGCCAATGAAAGAACTCTCCACAAGAGACCAAATGACACAGAAATTAACAGCTATAGGTCACTGTACGGCCTTCAACAATGAGCAAAACACATTCAGTATAGTCAGCTATAAAAGCCCCTTAATGACAAATGTAAAATAACTCAAACAAGAAAACTACCAGCCGGATTTATGTACAAAATATTGAATGAAAATCTAATATGACATACAGCAACAAACAACAACCACTGAATTACAGGCTCCTGGCTTAGGGCATGCACATACAGAATGTGACAGGTTTAAATTACTTTAAAGGAAGAATTGCAATTACCCATCTGATATAAAACTAAACATATATACCCTGAAATGTGAGAGAAGAATATATTACCGTATGTCTTTATATATATATATATTAACAATTGTGTATTAACAATTGTGTACACTCATTTTACAGATCTTTGTAGATACACCTGGCTTAATGACAGCATCAAAAATGAAAAAGTAGGTAGAACAATAATAGAAAAGGTTTTTCATTAATATTAAAGCCATTACAGAATATATTGATTGTTATATGGATAAAAGATGAGGCAGCAACCCATAAACCAAAAAAGACATCAAAGTGAACATGCAATAATAATGTATGGTCCTCTACAGTGTTTGAAACCAAAAGCACATAACTTCCTTAACTTAATACCAATCTCAATTTCACAATTCTATCAGAATCCTTATTGAAATGAAGTTTACTTGCTGTTAAAGTTCTTTTGTTCTTTTAAATAAAAAAGAAGATGTGGTATAATGGCCAATAAGACAACTCTCCACAAGAGACCAAATGACACAGAAATTAACAGCTATAGGTTACCGTACAGCCTTCAACAATGAGCAAAGCCCATACTGCAAAGTCAGCTATAAAAGGCCCTGAAATCACAAATGTAAAACAATTCAAACGAGAAAACTAACGGCCTAATTAATATACAAAAAAATGAATGAAAATCAAATATGTAACACAGCAACAAACGACAACCACTGAATTACAGGCTCCTGACTTTGGACAGGCACATACATACAGAATGTGGTGGGGTTAAACATGTTAGCGGGATCCAAACCCTCCCCCTAACCTCGGACAGTGGTGTAACAGTACAACATAAAAACGAACTATAAAAAAAAAGTTGAAAAAGGCTAAACTCGTCAGATGGATACAAATAGAAATACATATAACAAAAACATAGAGTGGACGTGGCCGGGTACTTGTACATCCCAACAACAAAAAGACACTAAGTACAGATGTCAGTTTTATTTTACCCCAACTCTGAAGGGGAGTATACTGTTTTATCCTTGTCTGTCTGTCAGCATGTGTCTTGAAATTTCTGTCGCATTTTTCCCAGGAGCTTCAAATAAGAGCTTCCTGTAATCTTTTATTAGACTACATGTGAACATGTTATTTTGAGTGATGTGGTTTTAGGTTTATGGATCATCAACTGCCTATATACTGATTACTTATATATATGTTCTAGACCTAAAGGATATGTATGTAATTTTTGTTGCATTTTTCTATAGAACTACCAATAAGAGCTTTCTGAAGTTTATTTTTAGTGTTCATGTGAACGTACTTTACTGTGAAATGCATTTTCAGATTCATATCTCGTCAACTTCCTGATTACCAAATACTAATTGCGAGGGTATCATTAGTCACGGTTCTTCTTGTTTAATATTTAATTTCTATTATACCCTAGCTTGCATAAAGAATCTTATATTTCAAAGTGTTATTTTTACAATGAAAGTATGTGACCTGATGGAGGCAAACTATATCATTGGATACAGTCTTCAGAATTTAGTTACATGGGTTTGTTTTCACAAAATAAATTTCTATTCTTTTGTAAATTTTACAGACATAATACAGAGAAAGAGATGGTGTATGGACCTGAACTTGGAGTACAATCAGCTGATTTAAGTAAGATTCAGACATACAAGTTTTTTTTAAATCCCTCCTCCACCTTCCCCCTTTTGAAGTAGGTGTTGCGTATTGATTGATATGTGTCTGCTTGCATACACATGTCAGTATAATAAAAAATACTCTTGAAGGGTGAGGGTTGAGATCTCACAGAACATGTTTAACCCTGCCACATTTTTGAGCCTGTCCCAAGTCAGGAAATGTCTGGCCTTTGTTAGTCTTGAATTTTTTTTTTAATTTAGTTCATTTATATGTTTAGGAGTTTAGTGCGACTTTCATTTTTGTTTAACTAGTATATACATTACTGTTTTGGAGCTAGCTGAAGTCTGCCTTCAGGTTCTCAATTTTACCTCTCCCTTACTTACTTCTCAATATCTGGAGGGGCCTCAGTGGCCATATTCAAAGACGTTACTACAATTTGTTGTGAATAAATTTAACAGAAAAAATCAGATAAGCCATTTGTAGACCTTTCTCTAAACAATGACATATATACAATATCTGAACATTGTTGGAAAATGTAAAATTTATTTGGATGAGCTTTAGAAACAGGACGAAAAGGGAAGCTCGCTGAGCTTTTCCACTGATGCGAAGAGAGCTCAAATAAGTTTTATATTTCCAACAATGTACAGATATTGTTTTAATGCTATAATTGACACCTGGCACTCCTTAAAGATTTAGTCGTTTTAATCCAGGTAATATCCATGATTTTTCAAAGAAATCGACATAGTTTAAACGAACCCCGCAAAGAGAACACAAAATGAACTGTTATCCAATTAGAAATAGTACTGTTTGTTCAACATGGACATGATGGAACGGCAGTAACAGGAGATTAAAGTAAAAAAATATTTGTGTACATGTTATGTATACAATAGTTGGTTGATTGCAGGATAAAAATACTAGGACATTTGACAACTCCTGGCATATGATAGGGCTATGAACATGTTTTGATCTCTGACAACTCTATATGACATAATTTACCAGTTAATTACTGAAACCTGTATCCCTGTGCTGTGATTCACGGAGGTTAAAAAGTTTCAGTTGAAAAACTTGCTGTATTTACAAATCAACATATTATATGATTAAATGAAAGTGCTATTTCAAAAGCATTTTGTTAAAATTTGATGTGTAAAATTGACTTTTAGAGAAAGTTCTTTCTTATTCATTTGCCATTAATGGCATTATTTTGAACTACCCATTTAAATGTGTTAAGGAAACAATACCTTCCATGATACAACTGTCAAAAGATGTAGGATAAAAAAATAATCATGTTGCCTTATTCTGAATATCTGGAGGGGCCTCAGTGGCCATATTCAAAGACATTACTACAATTTGTTGTGAATAAATTTAACAGAAAAAAATCTGATAAGCCATTTGTAGACCTTTCTATAAACAATGACATATATACAATATCTGAACATTGTTGGAAAATGTAAAATTTATTTGGATGAGCTTTAGAAACAGGACGAATTGTTTAAATGCTATAATTGACACCTGGCACTACTTAAAGGTTTAGTTGTTTAAATCCAGGTAATATCCATCATGTCCATGATTTTTCAAAGAAATCGACATAGTTTAAACGCAGCCCGCAAAGAGAACACAAAATGAACTGTTATCCAATTAGAAATATTAGTTATTGTGTAACTCAAGAATATTTTGTAAAAACTCTTATTATTGGTGCATATAAAACTATTATCATTATGTATATGTATTTTAGTTATTGTGTACCTCAAGAATATTTTGTAAAAATTCTTATTATTGGCGCATATAAAATCATTATCATTATGTATATGTATTTTAGTTATTGTGTACCTCAAGAATATTTTGTAAAAATTCTTATTATTGGTGCATATAAAATTATTATCATTATGTATCCTTAGCTGTTTTGCTTTTGGAATAAAGTATAAATATCATAGTGGTCATTTTATGAACTTGTGTTGTCCATTGCTACTCTTGACAGTAATCTGATGATGTAGATATTTACTATAGTTGCAGTTATTGTTGATGCAGCCGACAAGTGGACCAGAGATGCATTAGATCAGAAAGTTTTGAAAGTTTTACAGTTACACAAACATACACCATCAGTACTTGTTTTGAATAAAGTAAGTATTCATAACTCTGCACTGGTTCCCTGGTATTGTAAGAGTATTGAAGATAAATGAGTGTATTTGTGATTTTCTAAAAATTTAATAAAATGGAATTATTTGTTTTTGATATTGGCTTAATCAGCAAGATTATCAAGCGAGTATGCTAGGGCAAGTTGATATTGCTGCTGATAAAGTTATTATAAAAGATAAAATGTTGTTCCCCTTTTCCGTTCTCAATTTTATTGAGTTTTTTTTATTGGCAATTTATTCTAATGATATGTTTCTTGCAGTAAAATAGGAAAGTAGTTAATAAAACCTCTTTTTATACATACCAAAAGTTGTTGTAATTGTTCATTAATAAATTGATTTTTTTGGTGAATGAGACCGTCAAACAAGCGAAAAAGCTTCACATTGTGTTGAGCAGCTAATATTTAACGATATCTTTATGCAGAAAATCAGATACTCTGTCAATCTTGCTGTTTCTTGTCTTCGACAAATCTCTTAGACAAAAGTAAGCTTAGTAATATCTTCTAAGATATTGTGACTTAAGTGATATGTCCTGCTCACCAAAAGCTGTGATACGAGAATTACGAGGGACTGCATATGGTGATATAGGCAAAGATAAAGACAATAATTTTGAGTATCAGATCTGTGCCGCCAAATTAAAAAAAATAGACAGAAGAAACAAAGAAGATCCTTTACCACCACTGTCATGAAAGACTGGATGATCTATACACAGTTGATTGGAATCAGTGAATATTGTATATTGTTGAAAAAGGCACGAAATGGTTCATTCACTTTTCAGTTATTCACTTCCTAAACTAGAACTTTAAATATCTAAAAAATGTTATCCCAAAAACATTGAACGCAGTGTGATAAAAACATATTAATATAACACTTCACTTCACCTCTATACTCTATACTAACCAGGACTTCTACGACTGACCACAAAAATTAGGAAAATTTCTATTCTGTCGATGGCAAACAAACTAGTAAAAGGTGCATTAGGGTCGCTGTTGTTTTATCATTATTTTTTTTGTATTGATAGGTAGACGCAATGAAAAAGAAAGTTATGTTGATTCCTATAACAAGACAGTTAACACGAGGAGTAGTAGGTGGAACAAATATTCAAATAACGGGGTCACAACTGAAAAGGGAAAGGCAACAAGAATTCGATGCTAAGAACTTTTTCCAAAAAATACAAGACAGAGTCGTCACATCTGATGGAAATCTTGACATTGCTGCTTATCTTGAAGATAAAAAGAAAGTGGTCAAAGAGGAAGAGGAATCTTTCCCATGGGAAAGTTCTGGTTATAAAACACCAGTTATTTCACTCCAACAGAGGAAGAAGGAAACATTTAAAAACCAAACAGTTATAGCTGAAAACCAAAAAGACACTTGTGAAAACCTTCAAAGCTCTATAGACAGTAAACCAACATCTCACATGTCTCAATTAAATCAAGACACTGATAAAACAAAAGTTATCACAATTCAAAAAAATGAAGTTAATGAGTTAGTTTTACATGTTTTAGACGATACAACAGCAAAACCTGAAAAAAATAAAGACAAAAAACAGCGTCTCTATACGGAATATATAAAGCGAATTGAAAGTGTTGCTAAAGAAGTGAGGGATATTGAGGGATGGCCATATTTCAGTAGGGTGTTTATGATTTCTGCATTAGAGAATGATGGGGTGGAAGAGTTTAAGGTAAAATTAATGATTACAACAATAAGGAGAAGTGGTATGATTGCCAATCAGACAACTATCCACCAAAGTTATATAAAGTGGATTTAAGCAACTATAGGCAAACATACTTCAACAATGAGAAAAACCCTCTTCTCTTTACGAGAATGTTAAAGTATGAAATTAGAAAAGTGCTGCATTCCAATGTCATGAATGTGTTTAAATCTTAGCAAAAGGATATATAAATATCATTATAATATATAGCTATTAGTATGTAGTTTTTTAAACATAGTGGATTATGTATTAGTTAATGTCCCATTCTTTAGATTTCAATACCCCTATACCCTTTACAAGCTTTATCCTTTAAAAAAAAATTTAAAAACTTTTCAGTCAATCCCCTATTGTTAAAAATATGTGAGGTATAAAAATACTGGATCAGATTTCAAAATGTTATTAGTATGCAGCTTTAGTTACAAGCGTTTTTCTACATAAAAGATCAATGACCTTTTGATTTTGTTTAAAGGCCTTTTATTCATAAGTTTAAAAAACACACATTTTTATAATACATTGTTTCAGATTCACACAGAAAAATATGTACCTAATGCTTCCATATAAGTTGTATAATATTCTTGAAAATGGTGCTACATGTATAATAAAATAGAGAGCCTCTGTTAAGTTTTTGGGTAAAGTTAAAAATATGTATTTCCCTATTGTTTTCCTAATAAGTTACATTTGAATGAGAAACAAAAAATGCAATGAATTTATAAAATATACATTTTTTCCCTTTTACCAAAGAGATAAAACATTTTTATTATATTTTAGGATTATCTGGTAAAACAAGCAAAAGCTGGTGATTGGATGTACCACAGCAGTGTACTGGTGGATGAAAATCCATTTGAAATTGCAAAACAGATTGTATGGGAAAAATTGCTGGAGTATTTACCAAAAAATATGCCCTATCAATTACACCCTGTAAGTAGAAACCAGATTTTAAACATAATACTTCCTAGCAGAGGATACAGCATCTGTGTAAGGGCTGTTCCATATTTGAATTATAGGGACTGCGGGCACTTTTTTAAGACCCCAACAACCAAAATATAAATTTTTCAATTTATAAGTTAAGCTTATAAATCTTACAAAATTCTAAATATATTGCTACCACCCACAATTTATTGATTTGAGTGCTTTCCCCTACCTCCCATGCGTTTCAATATGGAACTGATCCAGATAAAGGCCGTTCCATCAAAATGGATATGTGAGGGAAAGAAATGACCTCAAAAATTCCTCTAACAACCAATGCAACATACTGTGAGTAATTTGTTGATTTATATCATTCCTAGATTTGAACAAGTGTTCACAGTGTGGTGAACATCCATTTAATAAACATATGTACTACTGCAGAATGAAATTTAAATAGAATTTGGCTGTTGTTTTGAATTGGAATCAAAGGTAGAAGTGTCATACTGTAAATTCAGAAATGACTTATGTTTGAAGGTTTTTAAACGCCCGTTTACGGTTTGTATTATGGTATACTCAGATACTGTTATCCGTCCGTCATCAACATGTAGTTCACTAACTCGAAAATGCTTTAACTAATTTGGACCAAACTTTGATGAATTGTTTATATCTATTGACGTGAGCTCCCTTTAGTTTGTTTATAAATTTCTGATATGACATTGCGGAGTTATGGAACTTTATTCTTTGAAAAAGTGATGGGCGTATCATGGGCTCATGGCACAGCTGTTTATTTTATTTGGCACAAAATTGCGACAGAACAGAGTTTGCAAAAGTAAAAATGTTTAAATTTTGAAAGTTTTGTTTGTATGAAACTTTTTTTTTAGATTGCAGTGATCAATCTCATACTTCTTCAAGAATTGCAATAATGAAATACACATCAAAATTTCTGAATTAACAGTATTACATTATGGAAACATATAAAATTGAAAATATTCTGTGGAAAGTTAATGAATGAATATAAGCATACTAGTAGTGAAATGGCCAAGGAAAATTTTCTACTTAAACATGTTTAATATGTTGATTATGAGGTTAAAATGTTTAAATGATAAACATTGCCTAGTCTTCTGATTTAATTGCAAGGTCTGTCCAAAGTATGGCCCCAAAGACCTATATTTTCTCATATCAATACAATTGCAATGAATGAAATCATGATTTTATTTTAACAGGAAATAGTATTATGGGAAGTTGATAGAGATGGTACATTGTCTATAATAATGGACATAGAAACTCCTAAGGTGGCTGAACTTGTAAGTTTTAAGTATATATTAACACATGTTTATTTGTAATTTATCCTTTAGAGATTTCTTTTGTTGAATTGTTGAGGTCATGATCAGTAATATTCTCAATTTATGCTTAAGGGCTATTCCATTAAAAAGAATGTACCAGGGTCGGACGGCAATTATAAAAAATCCCGTTGGTTGTTGATGTGTTGAAGCGTGTATGGCCAGTGGCCCTTGGTGTTTAGAGAAACTAAGTATTGTTGGTTGTTGGTCTTCTTTGAATTGGCAGTCATTTTTCGTGACTGTCAGTTTCAATGTGTTATTTTGCGTTATTTATTATTATTTGTTTTTGCAAGGACTTATATAACCGATTGTTTTTGTCTCCTGCTCTTATCGTGATATTTTGGAAAACATAACTGTTCCCGCGACTTCCGCAGCGGCAGGCGCAACGTTGTATTCTACCTATGGTACCATTTCCGGAAGTGCAAGAGTTACTTCCCTTTAATGACAAGCACATGGAGAACGATGTCAAATTCTATTGAAAATAATATTCGGAGGTTCAAATTAGCGGTGGTCCGAGGTCCGCGACTTTCCACTATTGCAATCGGACTTTCGTTTGGTAACTAGCTAGGCCCTACGGACCTTCGATTTGAAAGAAAATAAAAATTAACTTTGACGACCTTTTTAACCATCACTCGCGGATCAGTATGGTCATTTTAAAGCCATATTACTATTGAGATCGTACACCCCTCCAGGGATTTTTGAAGCATTCCACAGGGTCCAAATACCGGACCCATTCCTATTGGCAATGGCAAATACCCTACGTTTTTCCCAATTTTCAATTTGGGACCAAAACTTCCAAACGATCTCGAAATTTATTTTTATCTTTATTATTCATGACGGCGATGCTCAGTTTGTTCAACCGCTACAGTCCGTGTAACGTAAAAGTTAACAATACGAACGATGCCCGAATCATGTACGGACGATGCCCGAACGATGTACGTATGCTTCCCGAACGGTGTACGAATGCAAACGAAACGCTAACCGAACGTTGTACGGACGCTGAACGAATGATGTACGAACGAAACCATGTACCATAAACCATACCATAAACGATAAGATAAGCAACCTTTTATCGTACATCGTATGGTTTTGCTTACGTCGTTTCGTTTAGCGTATACGGTATCGTTTAGCGTACATCGTTTCGTTTAGCGTGTATCGTATGGTTTAGCATACATCGTTTCTTGGCGTGCATAGTTTCGTTGAACGTATATGTTTTTTTTTAAATATAAAACATGAATTGTGTTATGTTAAATCTTTTTATATAGGTGATAATAGGCGTAAAATGTAGATTGGATGCACATTTCAGTTCTTTATCAATCATTAAATAAATTATAATTTAATCTGACTCGATGTTGATCCAAAATAATTTACATAAAAAGTTTGAAAAATAAACATGATAAACACTGAAACAAATTTAAACAAATTAAAAGATACGATTATGAATTTCGTTAGCCGTGGAAATACGTACTTGGTGAATGTACGGGTAAACTGCAGCCTGCAGGGTTTTCAGTCAACATTTTTGAAAATAGCCTATGGTATTAACATTTTTTTTTACCTAAATGAACAATTTATTTAGATGGAATTCGGAATTAATCTTATGTTCTTACAAAAGTATATTCGGAGTCTTAAGGTTGACCTTTTGTTCAAAACGTTTGTTAATTATTTTTATGTATTCTCTTTTATCGCATGTATTTTAACATCGACTGAATAACAGTTTTATCTATATATCGTAATTAAACCATTTTTTTAGATTATAGATATATTTTTTATTCATCTATCAAATCAGTCGAAAAAAATAAATATTCGAGAAATTTCAAATGGAAACAATTACCCGTTATGTGCCTCGTCAACCCCAAACATAAATCCCTACCAATGTTCAAACGATTGTGTATTATTTTTACTACTAATGCACTTGACTTTAAACAATCATCAAAAAAGAGTGTGTCCGGCAAATGAAAAATTTCTAATTCGTAAGTGATATTATAATTTAGCGTTTTCATTTTTGTATTTTCTAACAACAAAAACCTAGACCATTCCCTCTATTCTTTAATTTTTCTAAGACCATTTTCCTCTATTCTTTATTTTGCTCGTTATACTCTATTCTTATTTTATATTTTATTTTCTTTATTTTCCTGTATCTATATACTCCTTTAGGATGTCCTTGTTCATATTTTTAACAAAGGATGTTCTTGTTCATATTAATAACATTTTAAATATCCTCCTAATAATACATCTAATAGTTGCCACTGGAAGTTAAACAGCTAACTATAAATTCATCCGTCATATTCTTAGTTTTGTTATAATGTGTAAATCAAACAACATGATGAAACAATTGAAGATATTTACTGCCGAAATAATGAGAAATAATTGTAAACAAAACCACTCAATCACATCCCTACGCCACAAAGTGTAGCCTTTTCACATGTAAATAAATTATTTTCATTAATTTATTTCAAAATAATTTTATATAATTTTAAAATCAAACGGTCATTTTACTAATTTGCCAAAAAAAAACCCAACCAAGCAGTTATTTTTATTCCTTTTTTTAAACAGATCGCTGGTTTTTCAATGGTCGGTGCCTGACAGAATTTATAAAATCTATCACCATGTTTGCCAGTAAGAAAGCTACATAGAACAGGAAAACAACAATGTCTTATAGAAATACTTCCAGGCCCTATTTTCCAATTTCTGTTGTAATGTGGTTAAATGCAAAAAAGGTAACTCCTGAATACTGATTTGTACCAATCAAGCATTTGGGATTAATAACAAATCTATGGTAGTCTCTTTTTCTTTACTCGCAAAGTATTCGACTAAATCATGTTTTATTTATGAAAATTGCTTATTGCTGACGAATGTTTAATATTGATCCCTAGATTTTCAATTGTTTAGTTGTTGGGTTACTGTATGATCTCGCAAACCTGACATTTAATGGTGATTATTTTTTGCATCCAATTGCACCAATTTATTAAAAAGATATTAATGCGACACCGTACGAGAGTCGTTACTTTACATAAACTACTAGTATATTTGTTTTTCTGTAACGAAATACGAAACCACTTCTCGCAATTCGCCTTGGAGTAATTGTGCTTCTCTTTTGACAAATTATGGCCTTGTCTCAAAAACAAAAAATACAATATAATATAGAGTTATATATAAAACTGGACTAGAGTGAAGAGTTTGAAAGTAGGAATTCTGAATTTTAATTGAATGTTCTAAATCTTTGTGTATTTCTGATATATGATTGTACAGACTCAAAAATTTCTTTGTTTTTGCTGAAATGAAAGGTCAACGTCACAAGCCAATATGGATGTAGTAGATCTTTCTAATTTTAAAAACAATATTTCTCTTGCTTCATTGTGAAAAGGGCACACAAAAATAGTGAATACTATCCTCAACAGGATGACCCCAGCTGCGTTGGGTTTAATATTAACAAAGTTTAAATCTGCATTTAAAGAACTGCACATATTTCTCAAACGTGTACATGTATCAATGATATTAAGATTTCTATCACTACAACTAAAATAGGAAGTGCGTACTGTGAATAAATACCCAGTTGAATATTGTTTACAGCAATTTATCACATATAATACCATGTTAACGGTTAGGGTGACGGTGTTTGACAGTCTGAAGGAGACAGCATCAATGATTTAATAAGGCAAAGCTTCTGTTGTACTCAATCTTACTAAAGTTTTCTTTATTATATTTAATAGATATGTATCCGAGATACGATAATGTAGTTTTCTTTTTTATATTACACCTGATCATCTATGATGGGATAATGTCTAATGAGAACATTTAACCATAGACTGAATAATGTAGAAATGACCAATTGAAGGTCACTGTACGGCCTTCAACAATGAGCAAAATCCATCATAGTAAGATATACAAGGCTCCGAAAGGACAAATGTGAAATACACTCAACGTCTTCTCAGCGGTTTCAGAGTACTTTTTCTAAATCAATTAAGTTTTGAATTAGGATAACACAGTCACAATAATACTATGACAATGTCATTTACGCTGTTCAAACATCACCGCACGTCAAACTTTGTACAACAGAAAAGATGATTGGACATTCGTGAAAATGTGTCACGCCCTCATGAATTGGCGTACGTCCTATCATGGAAGTATGTCAATATAATACTTCCATGGTCCTATCAAATACCTTCAGAAAGCTTCCATTAAAATAATTTTACACACAAGTAATTTAGTATTATATTTTCTTAACAAAACAAAAAAAAATGTATTTTGCATTAAATGTGCAATGAAGCCACGGATTCATAATCTTCAAAAACAGTTCACAAACGGTTGATAAAATGTGGAAAGTCTAAAAAGAAATATAACAATTATGTCCAGTGCGCGTTTATAAAACGGGCTCTATTTGGACATTTTGAGATACTATAAGTACTTGTTTTATGTGTATAGAATTTTAGAGGTCAATACAACTTTTAATCAGTTGGAATTTCAATTTTAATAAAAAAAAATGTGTTAGGTTTTCTTCTTTTCTTTCAATTTATATCATGATTCTTTGATATTTCCCATTATCTTCTGATTTTTTTTAAGATGAATAATCTAAAATTTGTATACAAAACATTTAAATTTTACTCTGCGTTTATAAATAGCATTGAAAGTACAACATCTTATAAACGATAAACATTGATAAAGGTAAATGAGCCACTCTTTCTCAGGTTGAGATGGAATATGTTCGTTATTTGATTTAATGAGTTTAACAATCGAAACCCCTGAAATATCGTCTCATGACAAGCACGAAAAATTGCGAAACTGAACTTCCAACAGCGGGCGATGATTTCTAATTATACAATATTTTTGCAATGGATTTTTTTAATGCAATGTAGAACTTATCAATTTAGACATTTCTTATCCCGAATTACTTCTTTGTTAAAACTATAATGCATTATTTCATAGTCAACCGTGAAAATGTAAATGCTCTTTTGTTCCGACTTTGG